GCTCTCCAGATCTTGAATTCAACTCAACAAACCCTTCACATGTATGTCCAACTGAAAACAAATGCAACCAGAGATGAAAGTCAGCATAAAATGGTGGCCTAAGGTGAAAGTGAGACCTAAAGAGGAAGGGATCTTACAACAGCAGCCCCATGAAGTGTTGAACTAATGGAATTTTCAAGGGGTATAACAGCAGCCCTCCGAACATCGACACTAGGAATGATGAAGTCAAGGGCACCGGTAGCAAGCTCAACGTTGTCGAAGAAAGAGTTATCACCTTTCTCTTCATTGAAGTATTTCCTTTTCTCAGCCTTAGAGCTCATTCGAGGTGGCTGCAAAAATTTCTCTGATGGCCCAAAAGAAGTAAGAACGGGCTGAACACAAGAGATCGTCTCCAAAGCCCTCTTGACCTCAGCAGAAGAAAGAGAGGTCGAATCTTGCTCTAAAATCTTCCTGATGGCAGGTGGAGGTCTCTTGGAAAGAATAGGTCTCCATGGCCTGCAGAGAGCTTGATGAAGGACTAAGAGCCCCTTGAGTTGAAGCTAGAGAAACAGGGGGCAACCCCAACCTTGGCACCTTGGCTTAAGGAACGAGATCACTGCTAGAACCAACCTTTGCTCTGCGCTTGCTTCCACTCCTGTTTTTCTTCAAGAGAGCAACCTTGGCTTGGAATGCTTCTTGAGTAGGCTTCATTGAAGAAGAACGTGGAAACATAGAATGAGCTAGCAAAAAAAAGGGGGGGAGAGCTGAAAGCCAGGAACGGGCAGAGAAAGCGTTACCTGATACATCCTCAACTCTGCCAACAGAGATGGGAATAGGGGTATCGATCCTCACCTCAGGAAGATTGAATTCGAGCTTTATTAGAACTTGAGGCTTGATGAGCTCTAAATATTTCTCTGAATCACAATCTGTCAAGTTCAGTAAAACTCGCTTATCAACAGCGCTGAGTTCAGATCGGATACCTAAAAAGCAAGGCAAAGCAAGCAAAATAAAGTAAGCAAGGTATGCCATCAAAATTGATCCTAGTTTGCACAACCGAAAACTTACCCAGGTTGTCAGGAGCAAACCAATCCCTAGGAACTAGAAGAGTGTCTATAAAATCTGTAGAATTGTACTCCCATGGTCTACCCCCCACAATAAAAAAAAGTTTTTTTCAGCCCTTGTGGGAGCTCAAGAGGTCGGAGATGATAACCTTAGTTTTCACTCATTTGGAGATATAAAAAAAAACCGTTATAAGGGGTATACTTAACATTGAAAAACTTCATAAGCAAAGGAATGGAGGGAACCCCTAGTTGATGTTTCTTGAAGAAAACAAGAAGACCCCCCAGTATGCTCCAGAAGTTAGGGGAAAGCTGAGCAAGGCAGATATTAAAATGTTATAGAAAACTCTTGATGAAGGGATGAATTGGCAAACGGAGGCCATTCTCAAAGGCAGCCATAAAAAAATAGGTTTTCTTAGGGACCGAAAAGTCATATCGGGTATACATATCGGGGCACCAATACTGTACACCTAGGGGGAAATCAAAGCAGGCAGCCAAAACCTTCATATAAAAAAGAATGACAAGGTTGAAACCCACGAGCTCTGCAGGTCTAGAGATCGCCCCTGCACCCTTGCCACTATTATAGATCCCTACGCCACTCACCTTGGCTTTACCTTTATTAGGGTTTTTAGGCATTGGGGAAGGCGAAGAGGGAGACTCCTCAACATTTTCCTCGATATCAACATCAGGAAAGTTATCAATCTCCTCTCCCACGTCTCCTAAATCAAAATTCTCTACTTCAGGAGACCTATCTCCCATGAGGGAAATAGACGAGCCTATGGCTTCAGAAGAAGCAGACATAGCTGGGCAAGAATAAGAAATTTTAAAAGACCTGGAAAGAGGAGGAATCTCTGAGAAACACTCTCTGAGGATCAAGGGGTCAAAACACCAGCGACCGATGACAAAGATCCTCGCAGTAGAATCAGGATCCAGAAATAGGGGAATCCGAGACAATGAGCGACCTCGGTTCCTAAAATAACATAATCGAAAAGTCCAAAAATGCAAAAACTACCTCAGATTCAAGGGATCCAGAACGAAGAGATGAACAGAGAACAAGAAGCGTACCTAGGTAAGGATGAACGGTGGGCCAAAGCTCAAGATAAAGACGAATAGCGGATTTCGTTGAAACCTCAAGTCGAATCAGGGAAGAATCAATTTTCTGCGAAACCCTAAGATCACCAGCAGATTGAGGAAGCAAGGGAGGGATGCAAGGAAGAGGGAAAAACCTGGAGGGAGAATTGAAGAGTGAAATAAGAATTTTTTCCATCAATCCAAAGGCATTTAAAGCTAACGGTACGTGGGAGTTCAAAGTGGAGAACGTGCGCGAGAAATGAAGAAGAAAATGATTACCTGTAAGTGTCGAAAACCTGTTCACGTGCATATCGAGGCCACCAGGTGGAGGTCTACCTCAACTCGGCCTTAGTTCAACCCTTGTCCAAGTCCGCTGGAACCAAGGGCAGGAGGGAAATTGATGATACATAGAAAGGATTTTAACCAAGTACGAGCTAGGTGATTGAGGTCAGACAAGGAACCCAGAGCTAGGAAACCCAAACCTCAAGCTCCATTCATATGAAAGAGTAAAGGAGATGAGAAGGGAACAGCTGGCTAACAGGAGGCATCTCCAAAACAATAGAAAGCAGTAATTAAGGTATAAAACTCTCAACCATCCAAGATCCTCTCCTAAAATTAAGGAAAATCCCGCAAACGAAAGGTAGGGATCTCATTGCAAATCCCTTAGAGATAGGAATCATATTATAAATACTGGACAATGCCTCCATCGGAGGAGAGGAACTCCAATTGTATCAAAATCGCTCTGTAATTTATAGCAGTCATCAATAAAGATCTGAAGGGCAAGAGACCCCATTTGAGAATGGACTAACCGAGCTCGGTAAACCACTATACTTTTACTGTACAAGTCATCCCGACTTTGAAACACTTAGATCTTGGCTGGTTTGCATAACTTATACATTATGCTCAATCAACTTAATTAACACCATCAAATATGATATCGATATAATACTATTGTAAAACTTTAGAAATATACGGTTATGATTAGGATACCTTTTTAATAAAATTTATTTTGCATTTCTAATATCATATGAGGTTTTTGTTAATTGGAAGTTTAATTCAATTTTTCAATGACAATTCAAAAAATAAGTAATTTTTACTATTTAAAAAAATATAGATCATCTTATCATGATATACCAATATTTACCTAGATGTTTTCCATCAAGGGTAAGGTGCAATTAATTCATTTTATGTCATTTTAACATAGTTAATGTTCATAAATATACACCTTTCCTACTCATCTATACTACTTTAAAAAGGGAACATATTTGAAAAACATTTTTTCCACTTTTATCCTCCAAAATCACAACTATCTCATTCTTATCCCTCAACATTAAAGCTAAAATAAACCCAAGCCTCCTCATGTTCTAAAAAAAAAAAACCTAGGCCTCCCAATCTTCTCTCTCTCCCCTATCGTTTTATCTTCATCTTTCCCCACTCCAAATAAACATTTTTCTCTCTTTTCTTTACCTCTTCCAGAAACCCTCGATGTTTTCCTCTTTCTTCTTATTTTTCTCTGCTGCTCTCAGCATGCGTTATTCCACGCATTCAATTCTCACTGCATCTCAATGTTTGGTGCAACTTTACTTTTTGTGGTATTGTTCTTCCACTGATATCTATTATAATTGTTTTTTTCGAATTCATCCTAGATTTTATGATACTAACAAAATTGAACTTTCACGGAGAAATTAGACACAAACACACCATGTGTATTAGCATCCAAAAGAATAATTAGAATTCGGTTACTGTTAAAATATCTAATAAATTGCTTGTTTAGAGTAATAACAATAAAAAAATGGTGTTATAATTATCACGAATATGAATTACAACCAAACATTTTAGTGGAGATGCTTGTTGTACATTTTAATTAGCTTTAGTTGACTTTCATCAGTATGGCTGTCATATATAATTTGAAGAAGGGGACTTAAATAGTTTCCTTAAAGTTACATATGTGTGTTGCTTTTTAAATTGAAGAAGGGGATTTCACTCTTGATCAGTCAATTTGAAGGTTGAACTATTAGTTTGGGGCCACCCAAAATTTCCAAGAATTTTATATCTGTGCATTATTATTTATTTGTCATACATATGAATTGTTATCCTTGATTATTTAAATTATTATTGTGATAATTAATTGCTTATATTTGGTCTGACCGCCAGTATGCAACTGAGTCATCAGTTTACAAATCTGCAATAAAATATAAGTTTTGATATTTGTAATATGCCTAAAAAAAACTACAAATTATTATACTAATTTTAAAAAGTTCATATGCAACACACGAGTATTGCATTCTTAAAATTTTAATTATGGTCATTTAACTATAATTTGACCAAGCAATATTTTATTATAAAAGTAGTAAATAAAAATAATAATAACTCGAAATAATTCACATTCAACACACATGTGCACCAACTATATTGGAGAAGTGTCTAGAAATTGAAAATTTAGTTATTAATTATTAGACATGAATTGTGGCATTCGATATGAATACATCACGCAAAAGGGATTATCCAAGCTTCATAAGTTGGGATAGTTCAAACAGTAATGATACGCTGACCAAATTTTAGAACCAAATCAAGGGCTCAAATGACATGATAGCTGACTTGAGTTCTTTATTTGATGACATGTCATTTGGGCTCCAATAAAGACTGCAAATAATATATTATCATGTCATTTGATCTCTTGATTTAGTCCTAAAATTTGGTCAACGTAGCATTACTATAGTCCAAACCCGAACATATCCCACCATCCAAACAAACCTTTAATACTCGCCTATAAATATGGCAACAACCCTATTCTCTTCCTTCACAGCAACTAGCAAGCTTTGGTTTAATTCCCTGTCTCCCTCCCTTTCATATCATTATCACAATTTTCTGTTGCAGAATCCGATAACTTCAATGGGGTTTCATATCCTACCCATCTTCACATATCTTTTTGTGAGTATAAATATTCCAGAATCCCAGGAACTAAATAAGCTTTTTTTTCCCAGGAATCTATGTGTTTGTTTATAATATATGTTCACTCATTCCTAAATTAATGCATAGAACATAATGAGAAGCTGTATATCTTACTTTCTTTTGCGTTTTTTTTTTCTCAGTTGGCATTGGTGGCTAGCCATGCAGCTTTACCTCCTGATCCTGAGGATTATTGGAAGTCTGTGCTGCCAAACACTCCCATGCCCAAAGCAGTCAAGGATATTCTACACACTGGTTGGTCTACAATCTAGAAAAAAGCTCTATGTTCTAACTCACAATTCTTTTATGAAGTTTGGTCTCATTTGGCTTCCTAAGAAAACAAGCTAAAAAGTTTAAAAAAATCTAATTTTTGTACCGTTGTTGTACTGCCTCTGGCTGAACTTCCTTTGCTTGGAGGAGGAGGAGGGGGGGTTGATGTTGGCAAAAGTTCCCTCATTTTTGACACCTCTATAATAACAAGACCATACGTATATGACAATGTTTACAATAACAAGAACAGGAAAACCACAATTATATGTTTTCAAAACTGAAAATTAGCGAGTTAAGAAAGCATGAAAAATCTTCTTCCATCAAGTGCATCATACAGATGTAAAGTGAAAGTGTTTGAAGTTCTTAACACGATTCGAAGTGAAATTAATGGGTATAAGTTTTAGTTTTTATTCAGACTCCAACCTACTGTACATAACGCATAATTTAACTAAAAATTTCTGTAAATATATCATGTATGAGATACACTAAAGATGTAACAACACGACTTGCATGGTTTAAAAACACTACACTTTGTCGGTACAACATATTGACAACCCTACAAAATTACTGATTACTGATGGTTTGCACTTTGCAGAAGAGTTGAAAGACAAAAGCACTTCGGTTGTGGTGGGGAAGGACGCTGTAGACTTAGAAACGAGTCTCAAGGTGACTAATTTGTACAAATATGCTGCTACTGAGGACCAACTCCATGATAACCCAAATGTTGCTCTTTTCTTTTTGGAGAAGAACATCCACAAAGGCACAGAGATGAACTTGCAGTTCATCGAAACGAGAAGAAAATCTACCTTATTGCCTCGCCTGGTTGCCGAATTGATCCCTTTTGCATTGGAAAAAATGCCTGAAATTTTGAACAAATTCTCAGTCTCACCTAATTCAGTGGAAGCTGAAGCAATGAAGAAAACATAAATGAGTGTGAGGACCCTGGCATCAAAGGGGCGAAACAATATTGTGCCACTTCTTTTGAGGCAATGGTAGATTTCAGTACTTCCAAGCTGAGGAAAAGAGTTGAAGCAATGTCCACAGTGGTCGAAAGAGAAACTCAACTGCAGAAGTATAGCATTTCAGGTAGGGTTTGGCAGTGTTACACAGGAACCCGACTAAACGTTGCTTATCCACAAGTACACGACAAGAACACAACACACCACTGCCAAACTTAAAATAATTTGGACAAATCACACTTTAACTCCCTTTAACTATGAACTGAATTTTAATCCTTCAATCCCTTGACTATTTGAATTGATTTCATGTTGCCCCTAACCCAAATGTCCTTTGGACAAAAATTGACAACATGTCAGAGGCAACATGAAAAAAAAAAACACAGTTCCGGGTTGGGGGTGGGGAGATAATTTTTCATCATATTTGAAACAAACGTTAATTATTGGAAAATGTGTGAAACTAACGACATAATTAAAGGTGTATTGTGAGAAACATGATAGTTGATAAAGTAATTAATGTGAAAATAAAAAATCATAGTTAATGGGGTTAAAGTGTAATCTACCCAAATAATTATAAACAAGTTGGACATAAGTTAAGCAAATTTTGACATGATATGTTTTATATGATTTAGAAACACGACACGACTAATCGACAACCTTATTTGCAGAGGTGAAGAAGATGGCAGGTCAAGTAGCAGTTGCTTGTCACAAACAAAACTATGCGCATGCAGTATTTTATTGTCACAAAACACACCACCAAAGCGTATTTGATATCCTTGAAGGGGGCTGATGGGATCAAAGCTAAAGCTGTAGCAGTGTGCCATACAGATACCTCGGCATGGAACCCAAAGCATTTGGCCTTTCAAGTGCTCAAGGTTAATCAAGGAACTGTTCCGATTTGCCATTTCCTTCCTGAGGATCACATTGTCTGGGTTCCAAACTAGATCTAACAAACATGGCCAGTGCGAGATGTTCTCTCTCTCATTACGCACATGTCATTATGAGTCTATTTTTGCGAATCGAACCTACAACTTCGTTTGTTATCCATTAATTTGTGTCTGTGTTTTAGCAAAAGCTTGGCAAATGAGGATGTTGCATCTTGTCTTCATTATTCGGAAAGTAGATTGAATTTCGTTTCTATATAATTGTGATCCATATGTACATGTTTTGACACATCTCCTAATCATATGCTTGCTAGAATTCGGTCAAACCAATATTACTTAAATCTTGAGTCTATTTGGTACGTCAAATGGGTACAGATACGGATACACAGTACCATATTTTTTGAGGTACTGGTTGTAATAGGATAGGCTTAGTTGGTACAATATTTTGAATCGTAATTCATTTTAAAAACTTTATCTATAATGCTTTCACTACTACATTTAATTCTATATAATAGTAGATCCATAAACCTATAATCGATTACTATTGATGCTAGATTTTTTATTATTTAAAATTGTCTATAATTATACATCTATACAATTGTGGTCAATTAATATTTGTTTTATATCTGTGATACATGTTCCCAAATAAATTACTTTGGGATTACTATTCTAATTTTGGTGATCTGGATCTCAAATATACCCCGTTTGTCATCACACACCTAGATTATGGGTCGTCTAGGGTTTATCAATTTCAGGTAAATATGGGTCAACTATAAGGGTTACAGCTAGATTTGAAAGCAAAACCTGAAACAATTATTTAGATGTAACTATTCATAAAAAGACCCAACTGATGACAAATTTTGAAATGTCCAACACGCTCTAGCCATCTACGTTTTTGAATCTTCATCCCCTTCTTTGAAACAAGTAATTTTTTTACGAATGACTTTGGCCCCCAATATGTTTAAGCTCAAGAAATAGTACGCTCGGTTTATCAAGTTCTAGTTTTGTCACTGCATAACCCGATCATATACAAAATATACTCACTCTACCAATCTTCCATAAGCAAACATTTTAGAGTAACATTTATGAGATTTTTCTCCATAGAATCATTTCTAAGGAACAAATGACTTTTGTGATAAATAGCCAAATTTTATACAAGGATGTGTATGTTATATAGTGAACACTTTTGTAGTGATTGTCGATGGTGTACCATGTGGGTACTTTCCAACTCCTCGAGGGGTGCAACAAGGGTTTCAGACCTAGCATGTTGATTTTAGCTGAAGAAGTGCTAAGTCGGGGCCTTCTAAATATTGAAAACAGAAATACTGCATCAACATGACTTTTGAGTCTGCCTAATCCGCTTGTTGGTCATGAATGGCTGCCCTCGGGTGTAGGGGCAAAGCCAGAAACTTAGGTAGTGGAGCCAAAAATTTTAATAACAACAATACTAAATGTTCTAAATTTGAAAAGTTAATGCATTGCTACCGTTGGATTAACAAATAAAATGTTTTTAGTGTTGATACCCTATGCTAATTCAACAAAGGCAATACATTAGATTATCAAATTAGGCCTTTCAATTATATTTTAGTAACATTTTTTTAACAAAAGTAAAATTTTAAATTTTAAAGTAATAATAAATTAAAAGAGATAACGTGTGGCTTCTGCTATTGCAAGGTCTTGAGTAAGATGTATTCATAGGAATAGGTTCTATAATGAGTATAATTGATAAGAATGTGGTTAATTCTTTGCACTGCCATTAATTTGACACAAAGCCGACTCGAAATTATTAAGTATGGTTGCCCTTCTACACCTGTTAATACACATGTTAAGGTTGGTTCGACTATACACGATTTATACGTTATATGATCTTGAGTACAAGTACGTCAGGTTTAACTTGAGCAAATTTGGACACAACACAATTTAAGTATGATATGAACATGATATAACATAAATTTTCAATTCTAAACGTGGGTTCCTAGCAAAGTCATGAACTTATACTTCTTATCTATTGTCAAATTATTGAATTTTAAGACATTTTCTTATACGATTTCTAATTTTCTTTCCACCTTACATGATGAAATGTCGGTGAGATTGCGTCTTAGCACTCTCAAAATTCCATGAAAGTAATATTTTTGTTGTGAAATTGGCAAATAAATTAGGTACAAACAACTAATTCATAAAACTAATACAGAGAATACTGAAAGGAGAGAGAAAGATTTTATTTCATTGGTTGTCTTTCACAGGTTATGAAATGGCTCTTCTTATAGAAGAAATATGTGGGAGCACTGTTCATTACTTTATGTATAGTAGCTTTATCTTTTCAGCTATATTACAAAATTAGTACTATACAATAGCCTTCATGCATTAATAACCGACTTTATAAGTGCAAGTGTGTATCCCAAATTTATGTTATAGTCACGGATTCTAAGAACACATGTTCTTGATCTTTAAGATTAAAAAAAATATATATAGAAGAAAAACCAGGCGAGGAGGGAGAGCAATCAGTCTATTCAAAAATTAAGATGGAACAAACAAGTTTATACACCCTGCTAACACTTCACATGCTGATCTCTGAATAATATTAATGGCTTGGCCCTAATGTGCCCATCCACAGGCCTACTAATAATTTCAGTTTTGCCCACTTAGTTCTTCGTTCTGTTAACATTCTCAAGCTCTATGGAAGCACAATTGCCACGTCTCTAAGCCCCACAGCTAACTTTGTGCCCCACAAAAGTTTATGGTCTGATCAAAATTGACATGTTTATGTACTGTTCATTCAGTACAGCTAACACCATTTTGTTTCTGAGCCTCCATTCCCAAGTTCTTCACTAAGCTGCTAAACTTAATGATAGAACTTGAATCCTAACACCTATTTCTGTGATGAAAAAAAGGTAAAATGACCATAGTTACTAGTCAGTGTTTAAGGCTCTCGTCCATAGTGTTGTCCAAAACAGTCGAATGGTAAGTAGATTTATCCGTTGAACCCGAGACGCGTGGTTCGAATGGTTAAATACTTGACATCACTTCAAGTTCGATCATCATTGAGAATCAAAAAACCTAACATATTTTTTCCTTATGAGATATTTGGTTGACATAAATTTTGTCAATATTTTAGCCCTGTCTAGATTAAGCCACGGCGTCTCTCACTTTCCATTTCCAACCACCAAGTTATCCCCTTGCCCTGCTTCTCAAGATGTTATAGTGGTACTATTTGCACCACATGCGTTCCCATCATTCCCACCTCAATGTACCAATGGTCAAAACTATACAGATCTTTGTTGGTTACTAATGGTTAGGATTTGACTTTGGTATGCTGTCAAAGTTTATAACTTTTGTTGATTAGGATATAAGTTTTTTGGGTTACACACAAAAAGAAAGAATAAATTATATTCACCTCCCCTAAGGTTTGATCAAATAACAACAAAACCCCCTTTTATTTGAGAAATAACACTGACCTCGCAGTCAGTGACAGTATTATAATCATTAAGGGAGGCAACTTGTTTGGAAACAAGGTTTAGCTACGAATATTGTGGATATTGTTGGTTTGACTGCAAGGAAAAGTTAAATATAGCCATGATAAAGGTAATATATTTTAAAAAAAATGAGTTGCTTACATCAACAAATTTTTCACATCCCTTTAACTACAAATTGACGGTTGGGAGAATATGTTACCGATAACCAAAACAAAGGGGATTGCAGTGTTATTTTCCATATGTGGAAGTGTATCGTTGTTATTTATCCAAACCTCTAGGAAGATAGATGTAATTTACCCCAAAAAAAAATGAATTGATCTTAAACAATAGAATTTTTAGGGGTTAGTTTACAACTTTTAGGGGTTAAATGATTATTTTTGGGGGTCAAGTTTTAAATTTTTAGAGTGTTTGGGATTGTTCCTAATAATTTTAAAAAGTATTGAAATTTTTTTGTAGTACCATAAAATTCTCCTGTTGATTGCGTACTGGTTCAGTCATTTAGGGGTACCATAGAATTTTCCTGTTTATGTGTACTGGTTCGACTGATAAGGATAGTTACAATGTTTTTTGCAGTACCGATTGAACATTGTATTGAAAAGTCAATGAGTTCAAAGTAACTAATTAATGGGGTCCAATAGCAAGGATCAACTTTGAAATAACAATTTACACTCCGTGGGCTTCTATACCTCTACGTGCTATTATTATTTCATACCTTCACCCACTGTGAAAAAAGATCATAAGATCTAACCATTTCAGACCATTCCCAAATCCAACGAAAAAACCTCTTACTCAATCTCTTATTTCATTAAAAAAAAAAAAAGGTATTTTTTCTTCATTATAATAAGATAAGCATTCTTAGCTCAATTCTTGAAAGTTAGTATTGATTCCATGTTTTTTAGATCGATGGTAAATCAATTTCATTTAGTCATAACTTGATATGTTTGATTCATAATATTTTGTAACTTTCAAAAGTACATTTAAGTACCATTGCAAAGTCCATATTATTTCACATAACGATGAAACACCTAATTTGTACCAGCTATGTCAAACTTCATCCGCCTGATTCATGAAATCAAAAAATAGTCCCCATGTATGCCTGTACTACTTATAAAAATTTATGTATGTAAACAACTTCTAATTTACTACTTTGCCTTTGTGAAAATCATGAATGCTAATTTGTCCTTCCATAATTAAATATTACAATTATCACTAAACTTTTTATATATTTAAATTATCCTCCAGCATCTCTTTTAAATCTAGTTACATATGAAAATTTTTTGAATGATCATATTACGCTAATATGTAAATACAACATCATTTTCTAATACATGTCCAATAAAATCTTCAACAATTCCATTAATCCAAACGCCAGAAAAAAAAAATCCTAAATATGCATCTCATTATCTATCTGACTTATACAAGTATTTTAACATAACAAACTTTTAATTTACTATTTTACCTTTTATGAAAATACTAATTAGTCCTCTATATTTAATTAACAATTTATCATTGATATTCTTATGTATATATTTAAATATGTAAATTACCCTGCAAAATCTTTTATAAATCCCATTATCTTTGAAAAACTTTTAAATGACCATATTAGTCAAAACATGATATAGAAAAGCAACATTATTCATTGTCCATATAATATTCAAAAAAAACTCATCAACAACTCCATTAGTACATTTCCTAATTGCCCAATATCTGGTGTACGTATCCTTTCCTCTTCATCTAGAAACCTAGAGAATTCATCTTTTTATTTCTCCTCAAATTTCTAAACGTTTTCTCCTCTATACAAAATATTTTTCTTTTGTCCAATCTCTTTTATATATTTTTCACATTCGCACTCTGTCTGTTGTTACAAATAATAAAAAATGCTTTTTAGTTTTATAGCTAAATGAGAAAATGCTTATGATGATATATGCACCTTCTAGTATCACTTAAGATTTAACTAATTTAGGGTGGGAATTACTAGGTCACAAAACAAAAACAAAAATGGCAAAAAGAAAATGCACTAAGAAAGGAAAATTTTGTAATCCTTCAAATGGTTTGAACAAAGGCATCAAAGAAAATGAGTCCTCAAATATTAACATACATAACATGATCCATACAATTATTTATGTATGTACTGAGCATTTTCCTTGTAGCTTTCGTCAAAAAATTTTCACAATGCACATGGTAGATTGCTAATATGAAGAGAGAGAGAGAGAGAGAGAGAGAGAGAGAGAGAGAGAGAGAGAGAGATGGGGTTTACTTGCTCTGTAATGTTGAATTTTTTTTTTTTTGGGTAAGTAAACAATATATTGATAACCAACGAGAATATACAATGAAAAAAAACACTTGTCTGCCAAAAACATGCAGGACAAGAACCAAAAAACAAACAAAAGCAGGGGAGAATGTTGAAGATTTACAGTATTCTCCAAAGATTTAAACCAAAAAACATTCTATGTAATTAGCATATATTCATCACCATAAACAAAAAGAGAACTAGGTAGCTATCATGTGTGAACAATTCTTCAATTCTCTATGTTTTCCTTAAACTTCAACGACATTAGTCTATTCTTGACAATGTTGATGATAAGTCGCTGAACAGTCACAGGATCCTTCTACTGGTTTCTGAATATCCTTTGATTCCTCTCATTCCATAACATATATACTGTAGGTGCAAGACAAAGCTTCTTGATCACAGTGGCAAGGCTCTTCCCCTTCCAAATGTGTGCTGACTGGATAATAATATCCTACCAAGGTAATTGTTGCCAAGACTGGTGACATTTCTCCATAACATAATTCTAGATCCTTTCAGAGTAGGAGCAATCAAAGAATAAATGAGAGTGTGTTTCACGAGCTACCCTACACAAGACACAACTTAAATCCACAATTTGCATATAGTTATGAATGTGATCCTTGGTTGAAAGTCTGCATCTAAAGGCAAGCCAAAGAATGAAGCTCATCTTTGGAATACATTGACTGAACCAAAGAAGCTTATGCCAAGGAACCAAAGGCTGTCTATACCTTAGTTCCTTCAGGGAAGAAGAAGAGGAGAAGGAGCCATTGGGGGTAAGCGACCATTTAATAATATCTTTCATATCAAGTCTAGGAGAGTAGGATGGCATGGATACCTCAATTTGCAGCAAGTCACTGTTGATTTTAGCATTAGCCCTGGGCCATCTCCATTGATTACCATGAATAATATGGCAAACTTTAGCATTCATATTGAGGCCAGAATCATACATAATTCTGGGAGTCCATCTAAGCATTAGTGGACCAGCAAGATGTCAATTATCAAACCATAGTGATGTTTCTCTCCCATCACCAATAAAGTGGAGCAAGAAAGGTCTAGTAAAATCCCTTATCTTCAAAAGTTTCCTCCAATTCCATGAACAAATGTGAGGGAGCTTGACAGTCCAGATGCTTCTTCCTTTCAGATAATAGTCTCTCACCCATTTAGACCAAATGTTACTTTCATCAGAAATTAAATGCCAAAGGTGTCTGAGCATTAATGCCTTATTCCAGGCCTTAAGATCCTTAACATCCAGACCACCTTCTTGTTTTGGAAGGCACACTTCCTTCCATGAAACTTTAGCTCCAACTGTCCTAAGCTCAGCTCCTATCCAAAGAAAGGCCCTTAGTTTCTGCTCAACATTGTTAAGGACACTCTCGGGAAGAATCAAGTGACTAGACCAGAAGATATGAATATTGGATAGGATTGAGTGAATGAGATGTAATCTTCCTGCAAAAGAAAGGAATCTAGAAGCCCATGATCTAATTCTTGCCTCCACAGATTCCACCAAAGCAACACAATCATTGACCCTCAGCTTCGTAGTGATGATAGGGATACCCAGGTACCTAATAGGTAAGTTGCCCAAAGAAAAATGGAAACACTCCACATTTGAAGTTGCTGAGCCTCAGAGACCCCAGAAAGAAAGATATTGTTCTTTAGTGGATTAGCTTTAAGGCCTGAAAGAACTTCGAAAGTCTCCAAAGAAGTCTTCAACACTCTAGTAGAATTAATATTACCATGACATAATAAGAAAAGATCATCTGCAAAACTCAATTGAGCAATTCTTTGTTTGCTGCATCTCCAATGGTATCTGAACTCTTAAGCTGCATGAATATTTATCATAATGATTTGTGTTAGAACTTCCATTCTAATAACAAAAAGATATGAGGACATAGGATCCCCCTGCCTGAGACCTCTTTGACTAGGAAAGTAGCCAGTCAATTCACCATTAACACAGACAGAAAACTTTGGTGATATAATACATGCTTTAATCCAGTTGATCATCATCAGTGGAAAGTTGAGAGCAGCTAAAGTATCAATCAAGAAGCCCCATTCAAGCATATCATAAGCCTTCATAAGATCCACTTTTATTGCACACCTAGGAGGCCCGTCATCCTTGTGGTAGTTCCTCATAAGCTCTTGGACTAAGAGAATATTATCCCCTATTCTTCTTCCAGCAATAAAACCAGATTGAAAAGGACTAATAAGCCCAGGTAGAAATGGCTTAATTCTATTGGCAATGATTTTAAAATAATCTTATAGAGGGTGTTGCAACAAGAAATTGGCCTGTAGTCACTTATAGCAGTGGGATTGGGCACCTTTGGAATAAGTGATATGATAGTGGAGTTGATTTCCTTGAGCATTTGACAAGTGATAAAAAATTCCTGAACGGCAAAAATAACCTCATCCCCAATAATAGGCCAAGCCTTCTGAAAGAAACATCTATTAAAACCATCTAGACCAAGGGCTTTATTAGCATGGAAAGAAAAACATACCTCTTTGATTTTAGCACCTGTAACCTCCTTGCAAAGCATTCTAGCCTGATCATCAGAAATAGTGTGTTGGATAAGGTCCCTAATTGTAGCTTGTCTAGTAGTAGACTGATGACCGCTATTTCTAAACAAATTCTGGAAATAATGGACTGCTTCATCTTTGATCCGCAAATCCCCCTCAGCCATTGTACCATCTTGTCTTTTGATAGAAGTTATCTTAGATTTGTTTTTATTGCTTATGACGGCTTTAAAGAAAAAAGAAGTGTTTTGATCACCAGCTTTGAGCCATTGAATTCTGGATTTTTGTCTTAAGAACTCCTCTTCAATTCTTATTGCCTCAAAGAATTTCCTAAGCAACTCCTTCTCTTGAGTCTTAAGATCATGGTCCAAGGGCTTATCATCAAGTTTCCTCTGGCAGTCGGCTAGAACAATTCTTGCTTCATTAGCTCTAGCAATAACATCACCAACCTGAGCTCTGTTATAATTCTTGAAATCATACTTCAATGGTTTAAGCTTTTGGCTTACTTAGAATTGCTTTGTTCCCCTCACATTAGTATGCCACACATTATTGACAATATCAAGAAAATCACTTCTATCAACCAAAAAATTGAAGAAATTGAATGGACATTTCCTTGGTCTTGCTCTCTGTCCCAACTTGACAATGGCAGGGCTGTGATCAGAGATACCAGAGGTAAGAAAATCAGCTAAAGATCTTGTGAATAGAAAATTCCACTCCTCATTAACCATAACTCTGTCAAGTTTTTTAACTGTGCAATCTTGAGGGTTTCTCTTGTTACACCAAGTGAAGAGAACACTTGAGAAGCAAAGGTCATCAATACTACAATTTTGATTACATTCTACAAATTCATCCATGGCTTTTGTTCTTCTGTTGCTCCCCCCTTCAATTTTCTGCATATTTCTTACCACATTGAAGTCACCTAAAACCACCCATAGTCTAGAAATATTGCTCCTAGCATGAGACTCTAGATTACTCAAAAGTCTCCTCCTTTCTCTATCATCATTGGCCCCATAAATGAAGGAAACAAGGAACACAATCCTATTTTCAAGATGTTGAACCTCACAGTGAACATCTTGATCCATTTCTTCAATTTTGAAAATCCTGAGAATATTTGTGTTCCAACCAACCCAGATTCTACCAAGAATATGACTGGAATAATTATCAAAGAAGTCCCAGCCTCTGAAGACAGCTCTCATAATGCTACCCTTATTAACAGCCTTGACTTTGGTTTCAATTATACCAACCAAATTCAGCTGTTGTTCAAAAATAAGCTTTCGAACCTCCAATTGTTTAGGGGGAGAGTTCAATCCCCTAATATTCCAACATGCAAAATTGATCATTTATGTCTTGGTGGATGATGGCCTTGGGATGTAGAAATCCCCCTTTTACCTTTATTTGGTGACTTGTGCTTTTTCCTTAGTTGCCCAATTGGTATACCATCAATGTTCTTAATTTTTGTAGCCAGAGCACTTGATTCAGGAGAAGCAAATTTTTCCAAATCTAATTGCATAGGACCTTGCAGTTCCATAACAAGATTATCAAACTTGTTGCTAGTGGTGATGTTTGGAATTACCTGAGGAGCAGGGGTGGTGGTATGAAGCTTAGTGATAGTAGTCTCACATACCATCATCTGGTTACTTATGCTTCCATTATCCACATTTCTTTGATCAATCTTGTCACTCTCCTTTTCTTTGCCAACTTCAACAGTGGAGGTTATCTCTTTGCCTTTGTCAGCTTGTTTCTCTTTTCTTGTCCATACTTGCTATCTTGCACAGTTCATACTAGTGTGGCCAAAAACATTGCAATTAACACAAGTTTTAGGCTTCCATTGATATTGAACCATAATTTCCACAGTCTCCACAGCTTAGTCAAGTTAGGAACCTTGCATTTTCAATTCAAGGAATCAATGGGAACTTGAGTAGCATCAATCTCAACACATACCCTAGCAAAGCTATTCTTTGTTGTGTCTCGGTTAGCCCATCAGCATAAAGTGGTTTCCCAACTGCACTGGAAATATAGCTAAGACCTTCTTCATTCCAATACTCAAGTGGAATATTATAAAGCTTCACCCAAACAGGAACTTTAGTGTGTGCTTCCTTCTTAAGAATCATTCTAGGTTGCCATTTCTTGAGGACCATAGTTCTACTAGAGAATAACCAGGGGCCATCTTCAAGGACTCTAGATCTTGAACTGTCATCAGAGAATTTGAAAAAGAAGAAACCTTGCTTATTAGCAAGCACCTCTATAAGGCCCTGAGCATTCCACATCCTTTGGGTAATCATGTTAACCACTTAAAAGGGCAAACTCTTTTCAATAAAGTAACCAACCAAGCTGTTTTCCCAATTCTTACAACCCGTATCTGCAACAGCTGTTTTGGACCCATCTCCTTGAGGTTCAAAATATTTTAATTTCATGTGGTTACGGGTTATAAAAGGAGCTCCATGACCCGGATCCATTGTAGTTCCTCTTTTCAGCACACTGCACCATGTAGTCTGTGTAGTCTTATCACACCTTTCACCGGCTAATGAGGGAATGGGGGTGGGGGTTTTTGCTGGCAAGCCAACCATGCCCATATGAGTAGATTGTGTTTGCTTTGATAGCATAGCAGAATCTTGGGAAGTGGAAATAACATGAGAACTTTTCTTACCTAGTGGCGCGTAAGTTTCACCTTCCATGTTCCTCCTTTTTGCCAAGTCTTCCTGTGACTGTACTCCATTTTCAAAAGTAGCTTTTACAGTCTTCGTATTCTCTGTGCAAAGTGTAGAACCATTTGAGATGTCTTTAAAGGTTGATTCCCCACCATTAAGACTAGGGTTACATGGAGGCAATGATGAGGTTAAACAATCAGTAGCTGGGTAAGCTTATGAAACTTTGGAGACTTTTGGGAAAGTTCCAGTGGGTATCTGGTCTGACATTTTAGATATGGTAGCTTCAGGTGTTTGGTTGGTTAGCATGGTGGGAAAGTAGTGGAAGGAATGAATGAAGGTTGCATCAGATCTGGGGAAAGGATGAGGTTTAAGACAATGGAAAGAGCATAAAAAGGGCCACGATGAAAACCAAAGAAGGAAAAGGAGATCAATTGCAGAAGATAAGCGAAGGAGAAGACAGAAAAAGGTGGGCAGAGGCTACAGATTCAAGGAGGTTGGGAACAAAGATCTCTCATCTCGGGGGGGGGGGGGGGTGTCACTTTTCACCTCTTCTATCAAATACAAAGTTGTCTGGTCATGAGTGGAGAAAAAAGATCATGAAGTAATTTACAAACAAGGCATCCAAAATATGCTTGGCAAGTCGCCATGTGCATGTTATGTAATGTTGAAGTTGCTAACGTGACTAGTAACATTTAATATTTCTTTATACTCCTTCACATTCTTTTAAAATCAATAGAGTTCCTCGAATTCCATCTATAACTACCAATTAATCTCATTCTAGCATTTTTGCTCAGATAATAATTGTCAATTTCTCTTTGATTCTACATCTTTTGCCATTCAAAACAAAGCCACAAGACAGCTCCTCTTCAAAGGCAAGAGTAACAATGGCCTGTATCTCAATACCACTCTTAGCACCTCTATTGTATTTATGAGCACTAGAGTTACAAATCAACAGTGGCATGATCATTTAGGGCACCCTTCAAATTCAGTTTTGCATCAAATTTTAGCTCATTCTAACATTTATTCTTCTTCTTCTAGTACTAATAAATGCCTTTGCAAGAATTTTTTGTATGGAAAAATGTCAAAGCTTTCAGTTCCAATTTCTAAGTCCCTTTCTATATCCCCTTTAAGCATTGTACATAGTGATGTATGGGGTCCTACCCCTTACACATCGCTTCATGGTTTTATGTTTTACATTTCTTTTATTGACGACTTTACCAAGTTTACTTTGTTGTTTCCATTAGTACATAAATCTGATTTCTACAATGTCTTTCTTAAATTCAAACCTTACATTGAGAATCAGCTATCCCATACATTTAAGGCTTTGCATTCAGAAGGTGGGCGTGAATATTGTGGCTCATCTTTTCAACAGTATCTCACTACTCGTGGCATTCACCATATGAAATCTTGTCCATACACCCCCCACCCCCAATAGAATGACATTGCTAAGAGTAAGCACAAACACTTGACTAAATTGTTCTTACTCTGCTGTCCAAAGCATAGTTTAAAACTCGGCCCGAACGTCAACTTGGCAAAGGGACCGGATTAATGGGTCACTGGTCGGGACAAGTAAGATAATAAAAAATTAAAAAATAATTATAAACACTAAAAAATAGACTAAAAAATTACAATAATTATAAAAATAACATCAAACATGTAAAAAAAATTACCAAACATGTATCCAATTTCAATGTATTCAAACTAATAATGCAACAACATTAGATTTCTAGAAATAGGAATCAAAACGCATTTCTTGAACAAAGAGTCTTAAGATTGGTGATCTAACAAATACAAATTATTCAATGGCACTGATCAAGCATAGTCAATTTGAACAAACCCATTTTGATTGTTGTACAATGTGGTGCAAAAAATCCCAGAACAACATGTGTCAAGAAAACAGAGAACCATCATATCACAGAACTCTCTCCCATACATGTTGGGATTTAATACACTTTAAACTTATAGACAAACACACACAATCGAAGAACAAGTCAAGAACATAAAGCAATAAGAAACAAGAAAGAACAAGACACGAGAATTTTACGTGGTTCGGCAATTTGCCTACGTCCACGAAGCTGCAGCGATTTCACTATTGAGAGAGCGGAATACAGAGGACGGCTTTCAGTTACAAATAAAACCCTAAACTCCAAAGTAGCAATTTTTATATGTTTTGCGTACCGGGCTAAAAAACAGGCCCAAAAAATTTTCCTCTAGGACAACGCCCCCGAACCCCCACAAGACTTGTCCATGAACATTAAGGCTTGGGCCGATACGCTCCATGGACCAAGCCTTAGGAAATTTTTCATTAAAAACTACGCAACATTATTTCGGGTTGGGTCATCATCCGGATCAACACACAAACTAGACTCCACAAAGGCCCAACAATTCTCCCACTTGAAGACTAGTTCAAACACCAACATCAACCACAATCCTCCCAAAAAACAGTCCTTCATCCCTGCAGCTTATCCTCCTGTCCTCTAGTTGAGAGACCCACAGAAGCTGAACAAGACTTCAGCTTCCCCATAGTAACCACTTTTGTGGACATGTCTGCCGGATTATCCCTTGTGTGAATCTTCTCCAAAATGAATTGTCCGTCCTCCAACCAAGAGCAAATAAAGTGATACTTTATGTCGATATGTTTGGTCCTTGAATGAAAGGATGCATTCTTCACCAGATGTATCACTTTGACTATCGCTGAACAATTTAGAATTGTCTTGCTCCTTACCCAACTCTTTCATGAGGCTCCTCAACCATACAATCTCCTTGCATGCCTCAGTGGTTGTAACATACTCCGCCTCTGTTGTTGAAATAGTCACTATTTTTTGTAGCCTCGAGACCCAACTGACTGTTGCACTGCCCAATGTAAAAACATACCCTGTAGTGTTCTTCCTACTGTCAATGTCCCCCACTAAATCAGAATCTACAAATCCTTGCAAACAAACATCAGAACCCCCAAAATTCAAAGTCAAATCTGAAGTACTTCTCAAGTAGCGCAGAATCCACTTGACTACTTCTCAATGTTCCTTGCCTGGATTTTCCATGAACCTACTGACAACTCCCACTGCATGAGCAATATCTAGCCTTGTATTAATCATGGCATACATCAAACTACCTATCGTCGGGGCATATGGAACATTTTCCATATAGTTCTGCTTTTCATCTGTTACTGCATAATTTTCCTTCGAAAGCTTGAAGTGACTTGCTAAATGTGTGTCAACTGGCTTAGCACTCTCCATGTTGAACCTTTTTAGTACCTTTCCAACATACTCCTCCTGTGACAACTTCAACTTCATGTTTGCTCTGTCCCTACTAATTCGCATCCCAAGAATTTTCTTCGTAGAACCTAAATCCTTCATTGCAAACTCCTTTAACAGTTGTGCCTTGAGATTAACAATTTCATCCATGCTTGAACCAGCAATAAGCATACATACAAAAAAAGTATGAGATATGATGTACCAAGCTTCTTAATATAACAACAATGGTCCCCATGACATCTACTAAACCCCGTAGCTGCCATAAAGGTATCAAACTTTTTATACCATTGCTTCGGAGCCTGTTTCAACCCATACAGACTCTTCTTCAACTTGCACACCTGATTCTCCTTGTTTTTCACAACATAACCCTCTAGTTGATACATATAAATGTCCTCCTCCAAATCCCCATGAAAAAAAGCAGTTTTAACATCTAACTGCTCTAAATGCAAGTTCTCAACAGACATAATATTAAGGACACATCTGATAGTAGAAATCTTAACAACAGGAGAAAATATTTCAGTGTAATATATGATTAGTGCTTAAAGCTAGTATTTTACTATGCTTTTTTTAGACTAATTGTACTTTGATGGAGTTTAAGTAATGACTTTCAGGTCCTAAAGTGAACAAGATCTCAAGGACAACAAATATCGCACTTGGATGTAACACCAGTGGATTAAGGGGCAAAATTGAAAAAGCTTGGCACAAAGCAAGAATGTTCGAACGTTCCCCTAAAGTGATTGAGGACCAGGCTGCTGAGACATAGCGTGTTGCAATCAAAAAGGGAAAATGTTGAGTTACTCGAGTACCACGTTCGAACGTGCTTTGGAATCCTGAGAAGACTAGACTACTGAGACCTGCTGGTGTGTTGTAGCAAAGAAAGAAGAACCACAGAAGTACTTGAGTACAACGTTCGAACGCCACTCCACGTTCGAATGTTGTCTTGAGTTACTAAGGACCAAGTTGCTGAGTGCAGGTCAAAGTTGTTCAAGACGTATGGAAGTAACCATCACAAAGACCACAGGCCACTTGAGTATGGGAGTTCAGACCCCATCTGGTGTTCGAACTCCGTTAAAGAAAAAACAGAGGCAACGTTCGAATGCCCTTAAAGCAAAAATAGAGACAACATTCGAACGACAGATCACGTTCGAACGTCCCCCACTGATTGGCTGCAGAGTGGTTGGCTTTTCACTTGGACTTGGGCGACAAGCACTATTCCTTCACCCCCCCCTCCTCTTCCTTGCCTATAAATACCCCCATTGTGGGAGCTTCAAAGAGGCAATCCTTCTCTTGTAGAGGAGAGTAGAGAGCTAGTTGTTGTATATTTCTTGTTTATGTTTTCATTTTGTATTTGTATCAACCATGATAGAGCCTAAGACTCCCCTTGTAGCTGAAGTCTTTTATTTACTTGTGCTAAGTTTTTACATTCATGTTGTGACAATCATGATGGAGGCTTAAACTCCCCTTGTAGTTGTACTTACTTTTATTTACAAGTATCAAGAGAGATAGCTCAACTTTTGGTTGTGATGGAAACCCTCCAAAAGTAACTAGCCTTCTTTTACTTTCAATGTTCTTTTATTTCATTTCTGTTGCTTGAACTTCCTTCTTAGAAGAGAGAAACTCTTCCACTTTTTTAGAGCTTTACCAAAGCCGTAAAGAGTGGAACGTGATTCACTCATTCTTCGTTGAAGAACGGTTCCTCGTTTATTGTACTTTACTTTAAAAGTTCTCTACTTGGAAGGATGAGCATCACTCACTTTTCTAGCCTTACCCAAGCCATGAAGAGTGAGTAGTTCCTCATTCACTCTTTAGTAAGAAGTGATGAATATGTAGAAATTATCTGGAAGTTATATTTGTGTAATCCCTTTATGCTTTAATGTTTTATATTTCACTTGTTCATTGAATGATT